AGGGCTAAACCGCTGTGGTATGTAAATGTGGTTCATGACATCACAAAAACAATGAATTTACAACAGGCTGGTTTGCAGGTTAATGTATGGACTGTATGTACTGGGGAAAACAGCATGTTTCGAAACTTTAACAGTGATCATGTACTATGTCAAACTATGAGCGAGTGAAATTGTGTGTGTTTTTACATGATATGGGCCTTAAAGATTTAAAGTTTTCCTTTAGAACTACAGTCCAAAATGGAAACTGTCCATAAAGATAATGTGTGTTAGTAAACCAGGATGAAAACGATTTGTTAAAACTGGCATTGCAGGTGTTGGAGCTAAAGCTAAAGCTGGAGTGAGCCAATCCAGGTTGGGCAAGTAAAAGCTGGAGCAAAACAGAACAGCAAAAGTAGTCAAGTCAACATTAAAAAACTTCACCCTTACCTTTACATAGGTGCTTTTATTGGGAAAGATGCAGATAACATTCAGTAAAGATTTTGGCATTACATATTTAACAAATGACTTATCCAGAACAGCCTACAATGGCAGGTAAATGTCTCTTGTTAGCATATTACAGTCAGCTACATAATTATTGGCACTTTTGATGAAGATAGGTAAACAAGTGAAACAATTGTCTGTGCTTAATTAGGTCCATCTCACAATAAAAATATGAAATAAGTTAATTTACTGTAATCAAACAAAAATCCCTTATTGTCTTTTTTAATGGCTCATTATTGGCACTTCTCGAAATTCTTATGAACAAAATGCAATTAAAATGTGTATTTATATTTAACTTTTTTAAGTCTTTTTAAGAGAGGATTGTAGCATTTTGGGCTCACCAAGTCTCTGACCTACAATTAGAAGTACAACATCAGCTCTATGTCAGCAAACTATTTGGAAGGTGTGCCAGAAGAAAGTCTTTTCTTTCATTTAGCCACAAAAGTAAGCACCTGGAGTTCACTAGACACTACAAATGTAAGTAACTGTAGTTCACTACACACTTCTGGAACCCTGACCATTGCTATTCATGCTATAGTCAGATGACACAAAAACAAATTGCTCTGGAAATAATCAGTAATGGCAGGTTTGGTGTAAAGAGAAGGATTACATACGTTTAATGAAAGAAATAAAGGATAATCTAGAAAGGTGGAATAAATTACCATTAACTCTAATTGGTCGAATATCAGCAGTTAAAATGAATATCCTCCCTAAAATCAATTATCTGTTTTCTATGACCCCTGTTACCCCACCGTCAGGCTGGTTCTCCTCTCTTGTTCTATTGGAAGCACCAAAAGCCTTGAATCAAGTTAGCTACCCTCCAGAAACCTAAACATCTTGGAGGACTTGGAGCCCCAAATTTCTACTACTACTTTCTATCACATCAATTGCTTTACATTAGACATTGGACAACTAGCTCAAACCAACCCTGGCAAGACATCGAGGAAAGTTTAATTCAAGAACTTGACATTAATAGTATTCCATTCATAGACAAAGCTATAAAAAAAAACAAAATTTTATAAATACAGTACAATAAGTACCACCATGAATGCATGGTGGAATTCAAACTAAATTCTTAAATACAGCTACTCTCCCTCCAGTCAAACTCCTCTGTGGAACAACCCCATGTTTCTAATAAATAACAAACCTTTCATATTCTCAGCCTGGAAACAGAGAGGAATAACCAGCCTGGCACAGTTGTTCTCTGGTGGCTTGCTCATGACCTTTAATGACATCAAAGAAAAATACAATATACCAGATAATTGTCACTATCAGTATATACAACTCAAAGATGTTCTAAAGCAGACAGTTAATAGTGGAAATCTCTGCAATCACACTCCTCCCCTCTACTTAAAACTACACTCCCTTAAACCTTGGAAAATGTTATCACAGATATATAAACTTATAGCCTCAAAGGACAACACTATCTCACTCCCAACTGAAAAATGGATATCAGATATAAAAGAAACATGTAATGTCAACTGGCAAAATATATGCAGTGATATCTTCTCTATGTCCAGCAATTCAAAACTCCAGCTAATTCAGTATAAAACCCTTCACAGAACATATATCACAGCCTCTAAACTACACCGTATGGGATTCAGTCACAGTGATAAATGCCAACATTGTCCAGCTTTAACCGACAACTACTATCATGCTTTCTGGAATTGTCCCCCGACCCAGCAGTTTTGGTCAGAGGTCATGGACAGGCTATCAGAGATTTTGGGCCTTGTCATCCCTTTATGTCCGATTATAGCGCTACTTAATGACCTTTCCTCACTTTCAGCACCCAATCACCTCAAATGCTTTATATTCATATCACTTACCATTACCAAAAAAAGTAATACTGCTAAACTGGAAGGACAGAACCAAAATTTCAATAAAGCATTGGCTTAACCTCCTCATGGATCACTGCAACTTGGAAAGACTCACAGCAAATTTTAAAAATAACACAAAATCATTCAAGGAAACCTGGTCACAATTTTTACAATATATTGAGAGCTGATTTCTCTCTCCAATCTCATCAGGGGAAGGTTAAAACACCTACATAGGATTTAATAACTACCCACGTTATAATTACATAAAAAGGGGCATTACTGTCTTGTTTATTGTTTTGTTAAGTGTCTGTGTTTGTCTGTCCTGTATGTCCAGTTTGTCATTATTATTATTATCATTTATTATTATTATTTTCTCATCCTTTCTCTTTACTTCTTCTGTTTTTTTTTTCTCTGTTATTTCTGTTCATTGTTTCACTCAAAGCAGGGGGTGGGTGAGAGGGTGGGGGGGGTGTTTGGAGGGGTGTTGGGTGGTTGTGGTGCCACATCACCTAATATCTATATGATCATTAATAAACGATGAGTTGTGACATTAATAGCGAAGTGAAAAGAAAAAAAATATAAAAAAATATATATATATATATATATATATATGTCCCTGGAAAGGGGGGGGGGTGGTGTGGTGTGGCCAAGGAATGTTGGCCCGGGAATAAAATTAATGCAGATTAGACTCACTGATTCTTTCCCCAGATGCCCCCGTTGGCAGCTAGTTAAATTAACTAGTTAGCTAAATTAATGCCGCATTCAACTTAACTCAGAATTACATCAGTTTCGACCTTTTTGATTCGAGCTACAAACTGGGAAAAAACACAAACGCTTCCACGGAAGCAAGTATTCTTTGCACAGAACAACTCCTGAATTTTCTAAATATGTTTCTTTCTTTTGAAAAACTTTTGTTTCTCTGCTTACCACCACAACAACAATCCATATTTCTGCTTGCTGTGTTTATTACCGCCAAGCTAAAGGTGGTGTACATTCACTTTTCCACACTGATTTTAACACTACTTATGGCAGTACGTCTGTCATGGTATGAGGGCATAACGGTGGCTAATCTGTGAAAGCACCATTAACAGCGAAAGACAGCACATTTTAGAGCAATATGTCTTTTTCAGGGATGTCCATGCATTTCAACATGACAACACCAAGCCACAATCTGCATGTGTTTTAACAATAAGGCTGTGTAATCAGAGTGTGTGGGCCTGCTTGACTGTCCCGCCTGTCTCCTATAGAAAGTGTGTGGTACATTATGAAGTGCAACATATGACAACTAAGGCCCCATATGGTTGTACAGCTGAAGACTCGTATAACAGAAGTAGGGCGAAAAATTTTGCTTTCAAACCTGAACCATTTTGTGTAGTCAGTCCCAAATGTTTAAGTGCTGTTAAAGGAAAGGTGATGCAACACAATAGTCAACATGTGCCTGTCCCAACTTTTTGGGAACATGTTGTATGCATTATATTAGGAATGAACATATCGCTGTTCTTGGAAGAAAACCTCATATCTCTAAAATAGTAACTTTACAGGAGAAGGAAAAAACCTACTTTAGTCATTTATGTCATTTATTTTAGTCCATTCATCATGAAATTTACATATCATGCAAAGGGTAACAGGTATTTTTAAATTATGTCAAAAAATGAAAAACGTCAAAACTGGAGATACAAGGTGTTCTTCCGACAACAGTGATATATTTATGAAAACAAAACAAAAAAAAAACAATGTTCAAAGTTCAAAAGGTAAAATTTAAAATATTGTGTTTTTGTATTATTTTAAATTAAGTACAGGTTAACAAAGAATTTACTAATCACTGCTTTCTTATGTTAATGCCATTTACATACCTTTTTGGAATTGAGTTTGTACTTCATGTACACAATTTGTGCCTGCAAACTTTGAGCATTCTCTGCTGTACTAGGCCACACATAGCATATTACAATAGCTACATCTACCTCTTCAAAATAATTTACCAGGTAGCCTAGATTATGCTATTTTAGTTGTGAAATACGACCATGGAGAGCAATTACTCAAACCAAGTGCCTTGTTAGCAATCCATTCTGGCAATGACCCCTTAAACACTGACAGTCTGAGTTACAGCATGTGCATGTTCAGCAAAACGCATCATCATGTAGAACTGGAGCTTTCCATGAGCTACCATGTTTCCTATTACTGTATAAAAGACACACAAGGCTTATTTATAGTTGGATTGCTCATTTGGAGTAATTTGGAGTAAAGTGTTTACTTGTTCAAAAATATGATTTGTGAGAAAGACTAAAGAAAAATCCATATGTTTTCGGTGTTCAGTGATCATGTTCTTTACATATCAGATAGATAAGAGCAACAACCGCATTCTAGAATCACTTTATTAAATGAAAAGAGCAGATCAAACAGCATAAATGGCCACATTTTTTTCGGACTTAAAGGTTTTTTTACTGAACTATTGAATTTGCTCTGATAAGTAGTTGGTACTGTGAAACCCAGGTAGCTTGTTAATCTCTCTACTTTCTTCTTAATATTTATCGCAATGTCCATGCTTTGTTTCATGTCTATTGATATTCAATTCAACATCTTCTTCTGTGAGTTTATTGGCAGGTTGCAAAGCAGAAATCTGATTACTGCCTGACTCAGAGATTCCCATTATCTGATATCTGACAAAATCTGATTTTCTGCAGTGATCGGATTATTAAGTGTATGTAAACACACTCAATTTCAGGACTTCGTATCTCCAAAATGGTTACAAGTGGTAAATTTTTGATCATTTCTTTTGGTCTATTCACCATGAAATTTTGTTGTAGTGTAAAAGCTTCCCAATCATGTCAACATAAAAAATGGAGATACAAGATCTTGTTCTGACAGCTACCATATCTATGATGGATGTGAATAAATGTACTTATGGGCGGAGCATTAATAGGTCAAATTTTCATATATTATTCCAGTGCTGAGGTACTTTCAGCTGGTTTGTGTAAAATTTGAGAAAGAAATTACATAATGAAATGCTGTAACTAGTATGAAGGCAGCACATGCCATCCTGTACTGCATCCTGAGCAGTGATAATTAATGAAGCAGTTAATGAAAGTGTCAAAGGTGCCTCCTCTTCCTCTGCTCACTGGCCTCACCCCCAACTCTGAGGCTTTGCTGTACTGAACTGACCAAATAATTATTGCCTTTTCATTCCAGCTGTACTATTTGTATCTCTTTTGCCGCAAAAAATCCTTTGTGCTTTTTCACTTGTATAAGAGCTTTCTTTAAATGTCACAGCATGTTTGACTTCATCCGGCGCTCACAACAGCCTAGTCGGACGCTCTAAAACTCTTGCTGAGTGGCAGCTCAATGCCCCCCCCCATCCCCCTCCCCCAGCTCTTTCTGATGACTGAACTGACACCAGCACTCCATGCTGGAGAACATTATGCAAATACTAAACTCCCATAACTGAAGCATGTCATTGTTGAGTGTCATTGCTGGTTTGCACCCCTGCTGACGCTTTTTTCGGACATAATCGCGTTAACGCAGGGTGAGAGAGTCAACCACGTGAATCCAAATGAGTGATCTATATTTCATAACAAGGATTGCGAAGAGACAAAGTCGCTGTAAAGGCAGGAAACACCATACTTTTTTCCTTTTGTACCTTATTTAGCATCTGTTGTGTGTCAAGAGGACATTTAAAGGGCCCATATCAAGGAAAACTGAATTTCCGTCACTGTATTGAAGTAAAAGAATCTGACATAGTATGTAAAAAAATAATAATAAAAAATAAAAATAAAAAAAGAGAAGGATGCTTATACAGAAAATATATAACCATCCTGCTAAGTATGGTGGAGGATCTGTGATGTTTTGGGGCTGTTCTTCCTCCAAAGGTCCTGGGAACCTTGTTAAGATACATGACATCACAGGCTCAATTAATTATCAGAAAACTTTAAATGAATGAATGAAATCTGGTTGCCTCTGCCAAAAGCATAAAACATGGATCCTGGTTGGATCTTTCAGCAGGACGACAGTTCAAAACATTGTTCAACCAAGCTTTTGACATGGCCATCCCAGTTCCCTGACCTAAACCCCTGAAAATTTTGGGTGAGCTGAAGAGCAGAGTCTAAAAGAGAGGATATTGGTAAGTTATATTTATTTCATATTTACATTTTTGCACATATTTACCAAGGGTGCCAAAAATTATGGAGCTGTACTTAAAATTCACACTGAAAAAAACATGGGGAACATTTCTCTCTGCATGTATACATCATTTCATTTCACATAACAAAATATACACATGGGTCCTCTTATTGGGACTCAGAGGCCAGTTTACATTATTGCTGTGTTCTCTTTCTAAACAGAACTGAGTCAGGTGAGTCCTCCATCATTATCACCTGACTGAGAACAGTTTAGAACAGAATAGAAGATAAATGTGCAATAAAAACTCCTCACTTCATTATTGCAAGCATTCAGGATGTACATTAAGGCACAAAATAATAATGTACACATTCTTAATAATCCTGAGCAAACAGTAAAAAAAATAAATCATTGACTTTGCTTCCAGCTAATGCGAGCTGGACCAGTTAGGCTAGCTACAGCCACGCTCTGACTGCTTAATTATGTCCTTAACAATGCGTCCTTTGGTAATACTTACTTGCTTTCTACTGTAGAGTCAAACATCCCTCAGTTCAGACTTTCAGTAAAGCCCTATAGAAGCTGAATTAGTTTTACGTGGGCAGACGGTGGAATTTGAGAGTTTACAGACAAGATTAATAGAGCATGGAGCCAATCCAGACGTATTTTAATGGATTGTCGATTGGTTGCCAGATCTGGTTCTGATCCTTTGTTTCTTTTTTCCACTGTTGTCGAGGTGCAACATTTAAACTAGTCACACACACACCCTTTCTAAACAGCTAATCCTTCGGACTCGTTGGGGGGCGGGGGATGGGGGTGCTGGAGCCTAACAGCGGTCATGGGGCGGAAGGCAGGAAAGACACTGGACGGGTCGCCAGTTCATCATAAGGCAGACATACAGACACATACATTCACACACATTCACACCTAGAGGCAATTTAGCATGTGCAATCAGCTGACTGCATGTCTTTGGACTGTGGGAAGAAACCCACACAGACATGAGGAGAACATACAAACTCCACACAGAGAGGATCCTGGTTGTCCAGCTGGGGAATCAAAACCTGGCCCTTCTTGCTGTGAGGTTACAGCGCCACCCACTGTACCACCATGCCTCCTAAACTACTAACCGGTAGCCAAAATCATTAGTCATATTAAAAAATAAACCAAAAAAATCTGAATAAGCAAGATCTCCATGTTAGCAGTTAGTCTCATCTCCCGCTCATGAAAAAAGAGGTACCAATGTCTATTAGCAGGTTTTGTTATTGCATTACTGTGAGATCAGTTCGAATAGGACTGTGTATACCTAAGGATTGTAGGAGCTTAATAGTTTCTCAGCATTTTCTTTTCCATTTGCATCTGTCTCTTTTTTGTCTTGTTTCATTGCCTTCGTGAGCTCTTGAATTTCTCTCCTCAATAGCTCGTTCAGTATTGCTGATCCACCACACACACCTGCAACTATGGCCACTATGAGCACCTGCATCCAGTTTGGTTCAGCAGCTCTTTTATCTCTGTCCAGATACAGCTGGTTATCTACAAAAATAAAACAAACAAACAAACAAAAAAAACACAGATTTGTAATATAATATTTTAAGTAAATTATTCTATTAAAGTCCAGAGCAGCAGTTCCCTACTCTCTAAATTATGATTTTTCTGCATCGTATTTTTTTTTGTGTTAGCACAGAATATTATAAAAAGCCTGAATTTTACCACCTACTTTTTGTCAATGAATACATATTATTACTAGTTAAACTACAAATTATTATTATCACTATTATACTACTACTACTACTACTAACAGTAGGAATAATTTAAACAGCTGAGTTATAAGGGACTCATTGTGATAGTAGTGGTGTTGTTGCCCAAACACTGCGAAGTTATAAACTATGTAATGAGAATTGGAATCTTGTTTTGACAAACAAGGAATAAAATTGCTTTTGATATTGATTTGTCTGATAATTAAATTCAGTATCTTGATTTTTTTTTTGATTTTCACTTTTCTACATCATTTGAACTTGGCAGTTGCCCTTTACATTATTTGAAAACTTAATGAAAAATGGATCAAATGAAATGTTCCCAAATTCACTGAAATAAAATCTCTTTACATAAACTTGCCATTTGGAGATACTTTTTTTTCTTTGGACAGTGACGATATCCTCCAAGCATTTAAATTATGGTATAGAATGGGGCATTATTTACACTAGACTGTTTAAGTGATTGAGTGATTATGATGCTGTCATGCGTCATGGATGGGTGTCGTAGTTACGTAGGCTATTTGGTATCACATGATACAGATACAGTTTAAACATCTAGAATCTCTTATTGTAAACAAACAATGATATTGTAATATTCACTAACCAGCCACTTCACTAAGTCCACCTCCTTGTTTATACACTCACTGTCCATCTTATCAGTTCCACTAACCATATAGTTTCACTTTGTAGTTCTACAGTTACAGACTCTTTCTCTGCATACTCTGTTACCCTGTTCTTCAATGGTCAGGACCCCCACAGGGTGTTGGGTCATTCTCAGTACTGCAGTGACATTGATGTGGTGGTGGTGTGTTAGTGTGCGCTGCACTGGTCTGAGTGGATCAGACACAGCAGTGCTGCTGGAGTTTTTAAACACCTCAGTGTCGCTGCTGGACTGAGAACCAAAAATATCCAGCCAACAGCGTCCTGTGGGCAGCGTCCTGTGACCACTGATGAAGGCCTAGCAGATGACCAACACAAACTGTGCAGCAGCAGATGAGCTATCGTCTCTGACTTTACATCTACAAGGTGGACTGACAAGGTAGGAGTGTCTAATAGAGTGGACAGTGAGTGGACACAGTGTGTAAAAACTCCAGCAGTACTGTTATTCCAGGGATTGATTAACACCTTAAATGGCCAGGGTCCAAGTTTTCTTACACATGTCTATAACCTAAGAATAGCTCAGCCAGTTTGCACTGAAGTCCCTGTAGTCACTGAATAATAAGCCTTAGTACATAATGAGCCTGGAATTTTAAGGGATTAATATATTAGAAGGTGTTTATATATTAATTTGGGGGCACTCGTGGGCTGGAGGTTGGGGAACCAGCCTTGTGAGCAGATGATCGCGGGTTCAATCCCCTGAGCTGATGGTACATGGCTGATGTGCCCTTGAGCGCCTAACCCCCAACTGCTCCCAGGGCGCCATAGATAGGGCTGCCCCCTACTCTGGGTGAGTGTGCTCACTGCCCCCTAGTGTGTATGTGAGAGTTTCACTGCACAGATGGGTTAAATGTGTAAGTGAATTTTCCCATTGTGGGATTAACAAAAGGTCACTTAAATACTTAAATTCAATGTATTTATGTAGTTAAAATGCAGTAATGATTTGGTGATCTTTCTCACTCAGGGTGCTAGAAAGGACTTGAGTTATTCGTAATCCTAGGTCAAAACTCCTGAATGTTAACTGCTAGCAGATTGATTAATATCTTAAAAGTGGTAATCTTTCTCGTTACTGCTGCATTTGCACTGGTCCAGTGCGACAACGCACCACAACAGATCCCATTCCCCTTCCTTACCCAATCAGAAGGCAGGTGGTGTTGGCATGATTTGTGTCTGTGGCTTTTCTGAAATATTCTCATGTGCCGTGGAAGAACAGCAGCAAAAACTTGTGTAATTAAACACAAATGGATTACCTCCAAAATTTAAGTTTGAATGGAAAAATTTGAATAAATTGAAAAAATAGATGTTAACTGCAAGTGGTAATCAAGGACCTCTACTCTATAAACGTGTCCTGTTTTGCCCTACTCAACCTTTTCTAAGGTATCAGTTTAAGGATATGTCACACTCTGTTGACTTTCTGATTATTCAAAAACACAGAAGCATTAATGACATAACATGCAGCCAAGGAAACACACTCACATTTTTCACTATGCCAGACCAGTATAAATGCAGTGTAAAAGACTAATATTGTGTGTATTATTTTTCTTTAACATTTAGAGCTTTTATATTCTTGTTTTATGTTTTGATGTCCTTTATTTTAATTATCTTTGAATTGGTTTTATGTTGCTTTTAGTTAAGTAAAGCACTTTTAAATGTGCTATATTAATAAACTTGCCTTGCCTAGACTGTTTCAGGTATTAGTCTGTAAAAATCACAGTAAATTCATACCTTGGACGGTCACTTTGTAGATGTGAATATCCTCTTTATTCTTGGTGTCCTGTATGACATAAACTCCACTATCAGATGGAGTCATTCCTCTCAGCTCAAGAGCAGATGTTAGTGATACTCTGTGTTTATATTCAGGTTTACACTCTAGTAAGCGTCCAGCCACTTTACAGATTTGACCACTGGATGGTCCAGCTGTGCTGTAGAAAAGCACCTCCACTGGCTCTGACACATCCAAATTCATCTCCAGAGATGCACCAGGTTTTAATTGAACAGGAGTGTTCAGGGCTGAGGAAAAACAAGAACTTAATCAACTCTGTACCAGTCTCATACAAAGGACTGTGTTTTAATTAGTGAAGTTCTGTCAGACGGACACTTACGCTCAATCTGTAGACGCACATCACAGATGTCTTTACCATCGCACTGACACGTGTACCAGCCTCTCTTACTGAAATCAGCGTCAGTGATGATGAGAGAGAGATTCCCCTTCAGGTACTGATCATGGATCATCTGATATCCCTCCTTTGATCTACATGAAGTCTGATCACACTCAGCCAGAGCATCAGTGGATTTATGGAACACAGACCATCTGACCAAACCAGAACATCTCTCAGAGCAGGACAGAGTAGCAGAGTCATGAAGATTCACCTTCAGTGGAAGAACAGCTGATACAGACACTGAAAGTGAGAAGAAGACAAACAGATCAAAATTGAAACAGGTCAATAACAATGCAAGCTCTATTTGTTAAAACATACTTATTAAAAGTAACTTATTAAAGTAAATCTTTCATTGTCATCAAGCTTAAGATTTAATACGTTATAGGTCCTCCTGAACTGTTTGTACTCACACACTCCATTCAATATATCATCTCTTTCAATGCTTAGCTGACTTAATACAATGTCAATGATTAGACAAACTGGATCACAAATCAAAGTGAAAGTAAGGTACAGGAGTAAAGTCTATAGGCAGATAACAGTGCAGGACTCACCAGTAGTGAATGTAGTGATCAGTAAGATCAGGATACAGAGAGCAGAACTGCAGGACTGCATGACTGACCTACAGACACACACACACCATCAGTACTGACCAGGAGAGGAGAGAGAGAAGAGAGAAAGAGAGAACAGAACTGACCTACAGACACACACACTATCAGTACTGACCAGGAGAGGATTCACCTGCTTCCAGAGCCCTAAATATGACCTGCTTAGGGGAATACAAGAACTGCACTATTTGTATACATGTCGTTCTTTTTAATTGACATTTTCTAGCTACCAAAACATTTTTATAAATGGAACAACTCTGATGATGGTGCTAGAGTCTCATGATGATGTGCTATGGTTTGGTGGGCTAGTCCTAGCAGTTACAGCTGCTCTGAACATTGTGTGAAAATTTTATGATTAATCATCCAATAGAAATGATCTAAAATTACTTATAGAATGATTCATCTTATAAAATCTTGTTAGATCAACAACTTAAACATTGCTTTCCCTCCACTGTAAAGTTACCATTTGTCAGAGAAGAACCCTCAGGGTCCTCTAGACCTTAAAAGCCAGATAAGGGCTAATAATTTCTGTAAAATAAAAAAATACATGTCTGTAATTTTTGTGACCCTGGTCAGTACTTGTGCGCTATGAAAAAGTCCTTTCATCAAACCACAAACATACGCACCTGGAGTTCGCAAGACGCAACTGGGAATCAGTTTCTTTGGTCAGCTGAGACAAAAACAGAGCTTTGGTTGGATCTTCCAGCAGGCCAAATCCACACAAATAAAGATTATGACATAGCCATTCCAGTTCCCCTGGTTCCCCCTAAACTAGTGAAGTAAGCTGAAAAGCAGAGTCCAAAAGAGAGGGCGCAGATCTGTGGAGGATGTGGAGAGATTCTGTGTTGACGCTCAGAAGACTCTGTATTTTACAGTCTCAGCAAGCATTACAGGAGAAGACTGATTACTCTCATGTTGGCAAAGGCAGGTTTCACTAAGCACTTAACACTATAGATGGCAATACAGTAATATCAGAATAAAATAACAGCTGGTAATATTTATCATTATTGTGATATCATACACAATATATCACAATATACTTTTTTTGAGCACATTGTGGATATGGTCAGTACTAACTGCATGTTTGATTAAAAAGACATCACAATTAGAACTGCTTAACTGGATTAAGTTCAGCACGGTAGATCAAATGTTCAATACTAATAATTAGTTTCATAGCTTTTGATAGTATTTTAAATGTGGTCACACAGCAGGTAAAAGTGGCCCAAACACGCTGAATCTGACATTTTCAATTTTGATTTGAGGCGCTTTCATATGTGGTACTGAAATCTGATACGTATCTGATCTGCGGCAATGCGACTCAGTCTGAACAGCCAGATCAGAATTCATGTGACTTTTAAGTCAGTCCAACTCGACATTCATCATAATTTCACGCTGCTCAGACCTCATTAACATTTAAGCTGATGTGTCTGTAAAATTATCAGAGACTCATCCAAAACCCTCCATGTTTGAAGAGATTTCTAAAGAAATGTCCGAACGCGGCCGTAGGAGAACGAGGCTGCAGCGTCAAAGAACAGTTAAAAGTCTGAACGCTTAAAGAATCCGAGGATGCGAACCAAAGAAGTGACCTCGCCCTTTTTACGGCTCGAACGTAGACGTAGATTTAATTGACTAAATGACTGTGTGTGTGACAGTATCTATGTTATTAATATTTTTTTTAACAGGCTAACTTGTAGAAAGTTAAGTTAACTTAAGTTCAAAGGTCACACTAACAGTTAAACAGGAAATGTTATTCATAATCTCCCACTGTTTAGGTGACTTTTTTTTGTTATTACTCAATTTCACACGTCCTAATATAAACGTATTACTCCTTTGCCAGTCTTTGCTTTCATTTATTTTATATTTGCTAATATATTTTACATTTAAATGTATTTATATATATTTAAATATAATCATATTTATTAGTTAGGCATACAACCCTCTGATGAGCACTCGAACACAGCATGAGTGCTGCCTTCAGTGCAGCGTTGTACTGGCCTGTCTGACATTATGAACAATGTTCACATTCCTTTTAATTTATTAATGTAAGACATGTTTAAGGTCCTGTTTCGCCCAGTTTAAAAGGATCTTTGGTGTCTTCTTTGGACTAAAAATGTCATCAGACCCAGAGTCAAATATCACGTGTACCAGGAATACATCATAGAAGGCATTACCACCCACAGTGGACAGCGCAGTGACCGTCCGCCGGTGCCTTATGATCATGACCGGCAGCGTCTGACTAGAACTGTCTATGCGAACAGACAAGAGACTCTGGCAGAAACCAAATACACATTCACTGCAGGAGGCCCCACACGCACATCCCACAGGTCAGTGCAGCGTTCTTTAGGTTCCATGGGATACGGAAGCAGAAGACCCCAGCATTTACAGGATGTGGTGTAGAGGTCCATTCACATCAGATCCTGCAGCTACGAACACCACAGAGCTGTGAGTGGCTGTCCAGACAGCACGGCTCAACATCCCTCCAGACGTCTTCTGTCCACTTCTGTAAAGTTACCATCTTGGAGATACACTTTTTACACTTGGAGAACAATTTTGCTTGAATTTTTTGATAGGTGACGTCATGAACTTACCTGGGGGGCGTTTCCCAAAAACATGTTTGCTGAGTACATTAACATTGGAACCATGCAGTTGCGATGCAAGTGTTTCCCCAAACCGTAGTTGGAACTATCGAGGTGGTTACGTCTGGTCGATTTGATTAAAAAAACACTCTTATTTAAAAGATATTGTGGAAACTGTATTAGCGCTGTATCATATATATATATATATATATATATATATATATATATATATATATATATATATATATATATATATATATATAATGATTTTAGCTGTTTTCGTGAGCATTGCTGCTGCAGCGACCCTCGGCCCACAGATCCCACATCAGTCCATCTAATCCCGTTTTCTGTGTTTGCAGTTATTATAATAATACTCACCCCATACTAACGTTCTCATGACCTTCTGTTCACAAAGAGTCCGGGCGGCCTTCTTTAGATCAGAAGCCCGTGCAGACAGACATAATCTCTCTTCCTCGAACTGTACGAACTAGAAGACAGGGAACTTCTCCATAAGTGTGAAACTACATCCAAAGCTTGGAAACTCATCCTCTCCTCTAGTTTAAACGGTGCGTCTTCTGAATATGAGAATAATCTTCAGTAATACTTCATGTTTTGTCCGTTTTGTTCCCACTTTCGATTTACAGTTCCGTACCGTCTCACCGTCTGCTTGTACCGTCAGCGCGCATGCGCAGCGCGGATCCTGCCCAGTGAAACAGAAACTCTACACTAGAGGGTTTATAAACAAGTTAAAGGTGTAACATCAGATGACAGACAGCTCACAGGGTCAGTAATGCGTTTGGTAGTGACCACATATTGTTAATAAAGGAATACAGTCATATATAAGAGCACATATTATTATTATCAGCCATAAAGGTTATCATAAGCATGTTTTAGTGCATTTAATATTTACAATATTCATTTCTAGTATGGAGTAACGGGAATAACGAAGAATGCTTGCTGGACTTTGCATGGCAAAGTATGTTCCTTGAATTATAAGTACAGAAGTAAATAAGTCTAAATCTCTCCGTTATCATGTTTAAATAAGTCACTGGCATTTCGATTGAGCTGCGAGGGGAAAGAAATGACATTTCATCCATCTATTCCGACGCACAGGCTACTGACGTCTTGAGTTTGTCGCTCCTTTTCACAGTACATACCACCAGAATCTTGGAAGTATTAGACTTTATTGATACTATTAATACCCTTAGAATAAACTGGCTCCGAAGGTGTCTCCTAAATCCGAATTCAGTGTGGTTTTGCATCCTCAATCATATTTTTAACAAGATTGGAGGCTTTTCTTTTCTTTTGAAATGTAATTATTTGCCAAATAGGCTCCCAGTTTCTCTCTCTAAGTTTCATCAGCAGGCTCTTCTTGCTTGGAAATTGTGCTTTGTAGAACCCTTTTCTGAAACAACTCTGAAATAACTATTAGGAATAAGTCCTTGTTCTTTTCCAAATGGTTTCAAAGTAATATTAATGATATTTTTTCCTTATTTGACAATTCTGGAAATGTGCTCTCTTATGATCAATTCATGACTACACATGACTTCCCATTCCCATATAAAGAGTATAACTCCTTGATTAGAGCTGTTCCTGAGGGCCTCATTCATCTTGTAAAACTCATTTAAGTTTTAGTAATACTGACATTATGCTACCCTCATTGCTTTTGGGTGGTATAAACATACTTGAAAAAAAGTGATAAACATATTCAATATATTCTTCAACAAAGAAGCAAAATAATAAAATAAAATAAGTTCTATTGGATGTCCTTTATAGAGGATATCCGTTGGAAAAGGCGTGGCTTTTGCCTCATAAATATTATATATTCAATAAGATCAAAGAAGTTAATTTTTAAATTTTACATAAAATAAGCCCTGTGAATTCTGTTATTTCCAAATGTGTTGACATTAATAGCTTTTGCTCCTTCTGTGGATCTGCTGACGAAACTCACCTATTCCTCCAGTGTGAGAGAACGAGTGAGTGCTCACATTTTCAACCCTGTCAGAATTACTTATTCCTTTAATCTCAAAGATTATTTGTTACTACAGTAACTTTACTAACAAGCCTCTTGAGTATATTGCTAATTTTTTCATTCTACATGCTAAATTCTTTATTCATAAACAGAAGTTTTCAAATTCTCAGCCAACCCAGTGGAATTTAAATCACTACTCCAGTCCTTACATCTCGTAGAAACTAAGAAAAGTGATAGATTTTTGAATTTCTATGACCGGCTTTATGGAGAGACACTTGATTAACTGGCTTTCCTCTTGTGTGTGTATATGTGTATGTATGCATCCTCCTGTACTGTTCACATATTCTTATATGGTGTCTGATAACGTATTGGTCTGACGTTGGTTGTATATTTCGTATATGTTGTTTAAAAGATCATTAAAAAGTTCCTCTTCTGGTTGATGTAAGACTCTGGATAAAGCTGGAAAGGTTAAATTAGATCTTTAGGTTCTCGTTCAGTTCATACAGATTATTTTAATAATAAATACAGTAATGTGTTTAGTTTATACAGCGTATTTCAACACTACAGGACTTGCACTCCATACTGAGGCCTACATTTCTGAACAGTCAGTGTTCCTTTATAAACAGACATAAAGAGCTGAGCTCTCTGTTCTAAACTCACAGATAAAATGATGCAGTAGCTGTTTAGCAGTTTAAACAGGCTCTTATTAGACTGGAACAGTTATCAGCAATTATTCCCTGTTTACTGGGTCAGTTTAGGAAGCAGGTTCAGTTTGTAGCCCCACAGCGCCCCCTGCTGCACACTGTTCTCATTCAAACTGTTTACAATCATCATCTTCAGTATTGCAACAGATGATTTTTACTGGTTTGGTGTATCTATTTCTTATTTCCTAGTCCAGCCTTTGTGTATCTGAGAATCAGATGCTGTTTATGGTTTAATTATTTCAGATTCTACATTAAAATACATTTATCATTAACAGCAGAAGATGGATGACTAAAGAGAGGAACATCTTACTGAACCGTATTATATAACTATGATTATACAGTATTAATCTTCAGTCATCCTGTACTTCTGAACTGAAGATATCAGTGTTTTACAATAAAAGGTGTGGATTTGGTCTGAGAGATGATCTAATTAATGCTTTAAAAGATGTTTATGATACATATTTGTGAAGATCTCATATTCACTACAACCCGTAAGTACAGATATATCTAGAACAGTTCACTTTGAGTTTTGACTGAAAGTTAATTTTTAAACGGTTTCATCATGAAGTACCCAAACCTGTGCAGCAGAGGGCGCTACAAACTGAACCTGCTTCCTAAACAGACCACAGACTGACACAGTTAATAGAAAATACTGTGTATTTACTGTTGTACATAAAAACCCATTTTACAAAGTGAACCTGTGTTTAGTAAACACGTTATTTATCAGTTAGTATGAGGTGGAAAATAACTGTTAATGGTGTTGTTTAATTTAATCATAATTTTACCTTCAATTCAGCTTTTTACTAATAAAGTACTCGACATTAACTTACAGTTGAAGTGTTACTGTTGATTGTAACTGACCTGCTTTTCCACTGTGAGTCTGATAGTGAAGATCTTCATCAGCAGGAATCTGAGTTTATGTTCATTATTCCACCTGTTTATCTTCATCCTCATCTCCAGATACAGCACACTGATATTCACCTCTCTAATAATAATAATAATAATAATAATAATAATAATAATCATCATCTTTAGAGAATAAGGCGTCTGTACAGTCAGTGCTCTGAATATAAATGAAGCTCCAGGTCTGATATTTTCAGCCCTGAACTTCCTCTTTTTCTGGCTTAAGGCCTGAATGCTGAACACAGTGTTCCAGACTGTCAGTCAGTCATGGTTGTGATGTCACAGCACATGGGTGTTTGGTTGTTTCTGATTGGTCCATACATGAAGTTTTGTTGATAACCGTCTACAGTTAAAATAGCAGCTCTTTAAATTGTGATGTGGATACAAAGTGATTAATCGTATAAACAGCAGTACAGTTTCAGGATCAATACGGTCAGCAGAGACCACCTCAGTGTCTGATCCCTCCTGTTCTCTGCAGGTTCTGTCCACTGTGGTCCAGCTGATGAAAACTCTTCAGCTCCCAGAAGACAGTGATGTGTTCATCAGACGGTTCCTGGTATCTTTGATGTTCCAGCTCTTCTGTGTTCCTACCAGCCTCCTGACCGCTCACTCTAGACTCTGAAACATGTCCACCTGCTTTGCTTCACCCCTCGTCTCATTTCAAATGACACACTGTCAAATATCCCATAATGCTTCACTTCTATTGTTAGTTTTGCTGTCCTTTTTAATTACTATTTATTACCCATTATTCTTCATGCAGTTGGTCATAAATGTAGATTATACACTGTTAGTAATGAAGGTTCTGTTCAGGTACATTTTACATTCATCAAGGTACAAACAGTGTAAATGTTCCCTCAAAGGTACAACAGTGGTTTTAAGGTCTGATTGTGAACCTTAAAAAAGTTTTTCCAGGTGAAAACCAGAAATCGTTTCATAACCGAATGTTTTAAAACAGAACAGTAAAATAAAAGCCTGGAGACGAGACGGGGTGTGTGGAGTCAGTACAGTTTAGAACATATCATTTCAGTGGATTATGGTTCAGTTATGTTCCCTGACTAAAGGTACTGAGATGGAGCCATGAGGGTTCCAACCCAGTGACAGGAGGGGAACTGACCCAGCGACAGTTTAGCACTTTTTTCTGAGAGTGTATATATTAGCATGTAGGTTATATATTGTTTATTCTCTCTGTTACAGTGTCAGTTTAGACTGTCAGAGAAAAAAAAAAGCTCTGCAAGCTTCTTAACACAGCACTGATTTAGACTCGTACCTGTAAAACATCTACTGTACAGGACAGTCTCTACATTACTGGGTCACAGGTCAGGCACCTCCACATCTGCTGAACTGAAGGTCAGTGCACTGCAGGGTGGACACACCCAGTTACCTCAAGTTCAATCAGGCTGGAAAATGTTATTACAGAACATCTTAGACCTTCATTCACTGATTCCTGTTACAGTTTAGCTTGAATCAACATCAGATTCAAACTGAGAAAATAACACTTTATACAGACTTATAAAGACACCAGTCTCAGGATCAGAATACAAGGGCTTTTAATTCATACTAAAAAAAAGGAATAAACTATCAGTTACTGTTGTGGACAGAGCTGATGACACCGTCACTGGTGCTTTATTAGTGTTGGAAGTTCACAGATGGTTATGGATTGAATTAATAAGTTATGGATCAGTTTAAACAGTTTAAACGTCAGTTTTATTGGTTAAAATCACGTTAGTGTTCAACAAATCTAGTAAACAAACTGCTGCATTATAGAGAAAAAAAAAACAAAGCAAATTTATACAATAAGAGAAACTTTTTACAGTCATTTACATATTTACAGTTTCTTTCAGTGCATGCAGAATGAAAGACATTCAGTTTTCTATGTAAAATTATTTCCTTTTATAAAACCTGCATATCAAACACATCTCATCAATACTCTGGTTTAGAGTAGAGATGAGACCGATACGATCCGATCTGATATATCGGTGTCGGGTCTGATATTTTATAATATGTTCCGGCCGCACAGTCAGCAACGTCATTGCCACAAGCACAGCCGCAAGTCCAGCTAAAAGGGCAAATTTTGCCAGGACTTCCTTCCACACCGGCACAACAGACCTAAGATCTCTGTC